TTAGCTGAAATACGAATGTACTCATAATATTTTTGACAGCATTAGGCCAAAATAAAAAATAGGTTTGTTTCCCCTAACGCGACCGACCCACTTAAATCGTGCCGAGTGAAAAGTTTTCATAATAAGATTATGCAAATATTTATTTTTATTGTTTATCAACTTCATAAAGTACAATTTCATCAAAATTCGTTTTTTATCAGAATGGCGGCTTTTGTTATACTCTCATTTGGCGCCCACAACATGTGGCCACAGAGGGTTATTTAGTGTTATAAAACAACGGCGATGTATCAATCTTAATAGACATCTTTAACTTGTTAGAATCCTACACTCTTGAAACATTTCGAGAATTAAATATACCATGACTAAGGAGTGTTAACATGGCATTTACAAATTAACGTACGTAGTAAGCATGACAAAGCCTGCCTCATGAGCAGATGAGGGGCCCACTTTGTGTATGCTTATCGATAAATTTCACTGCATTTCATTCGTTTCGATCTCAAAAACACTTCATGTATGATTCTATTTTTACTATATAGGACCATAGGTTTTGTAAATATATCTTTGTATAATTATTTCATCTTGATAAATATAATTTGGATGTCGTTTCTTCATTCCTTTTATTTATGGGGTAAACATTAGATATATGAAACTTCAATCAGGTTAGATATGGTTTGTTGAATTAAATATTGTCCATACAGGTACTTTTTTTTCAAATAGTGTTGAAATCTTTAAAGTTGGCGTATGGTATGGCTTCCTGAGACGTCCAGTGCATTTTTCTTTTCTTTAGTTGGGCCCTTGAAAATAGGTTGTTTCTTTGCTTTAAAATACCTTTAAAAATTGCTGAGTCGACAACATTTGAACACGGGTGGAGGGCTCCTAAGTTAGACTTTTTCTCGGCACTTATGGCCATTGATCATAAAGCATCAGTAAGGGATCTTTATCGTGCCAACATCTACATGTATACTGTGACACTGCATGGCCCTACGTTTTTTACGGTCTCATTTGACTGACCGATTTCCACGCCCCACGTCGGGACCTGTGACTTAGAATAAGCTCCTGAATTACGTCGTGACTCCAAAACGAAACACTAGAACTACTGCACCACGCGAGGCCCTTGACATTTTATCTGTGTAAGCACTCGAAGATGATAGTAGGTTTGAACAAGATGTATTCGTGAAACACTGATGCCCCCGTATGGCAGCTTATGGCGAAGGTTAAAGTTTCTCAAATGCAAGTCAAAATGCAGGCCAAAAGATACAAAATGTTGGTACCCAAAGAAAGGTCTCGTCTCCAGACCTGTTTACCCAAATTGTTGTCTCTCAGTATTTTTCATCAGATTTGTCAGTGAGATTTGGCATTTGCCCGTAAGATTTCACTTTTTATCGACTGTACATATATAACAAGAAAACAACTACATTTCTGATTACCAAAACATGGTTTAATAACAAAGCAAAACATCATACACTTCTCTCTTTTGAGTGATTTCTGTTTTTTAAACCACCGCGTTTTGGCAACTTAAATGTTTAAATATTTTCTCTTCTTTGGCGATTAAAAAGCGTCAAACTGAGACGGAGAACGAAAACCAATTGCTAAAATCCATATGAACGGACTTCCGTATTTTCGTTATAGCAAAACGTAAGACGTATTTTGGACTGAAAATCCGTACAAAATACGGCGAAATCGTAAGAGTAAACAGGTCAGCGTCTCGAGGAATATATCTGTGAAATTTGAAAGCCCTAGCTGCAACTGTTCAAAAGTTATGGCAAAGGTTAAAGTTTTTTAAAAGTAAGTAAAACGTCAAGGTCAAAGTTGTTATTATTCAAATGAAGGTCTTGACACAAGGATTACATATGAGAAGTATGAAAGCCCTAGCACCAACCATTAAAAAATTATGACCAAGGTTAAAGTTTTTCGAAAGTAGGTCAAATTCCAAGGTCAAAAGGTCAAAGTTGTTGGTATCCAAAGGAAAGCCTTGTAATAAGGAATACACATGTGAAGTTTGAAACCCAAAGCACCAACTGTTCAGAAGTTATGGCCAAGGTTAAAGTCTCATAAAATTTTGCAAAAATGGGTCAAACTCCAAGGTCAAGGTCAAAAGGTCACATATGATGGTACCCAAAGAAAGGTCTTGTCACAAGGAATACACATGTGAAATATGAAAGTCATAGCTCCAACCAATCAAAAGTTATGGGCAAGGTTAAAGTTGACAACAGACAAACAGACAGACAGGACAAACACAATATACCCCGGGATCTTTCGATCCGGGGGCATAATAAAATATACTCGGATGGCCAATAGTTGAGTTTTTGCGAATCTTGTCTTTTTTGTAAAAATTCAAATTCAATAAATTTACGCTGGCCTGAGATATTTCACAAGTTCAAATGAATAATATTTGTGAATTAATTTACCATACATGTTGCTTAATTTCATTTGTATGATATTAGGTTTAAAAATCACTTTCTTTTGTTCTTTCTTATTTATAGCGATATTATTCAATTTTCAGAATGTAATTTCAAAACTGTCATAAAAAAAATAATAATTTACCTACCTACCTACTCAACTTGAAATTTTAGGGTCGGGTTAGGGGAAACAAAGATATTTTTAATGATGGCCTTGGTAATCTGCTTTAATTTTTACTTAAGATATAATTATTTTTCGTGGATTTTTATGCATGTAACTTACTCTTTTCTTTGATTTTTTATTAGTAGTATGGACGTTTTAACTATCAATGTCGATGATCAGGAGATGTTGGGATTAAACGATGATCTCAGAGAGGAATTTCCGGATGGGAGAATGGCTTGTAAAGTTCCAGCTTGTTCGGAAGCCAGACACTTCAATACTCTCGCAACAAATCGAAAGCACTGGCGGAAGTACCATTCACAATTTGTTCTACTCTTCCAATGCCCACACTGTAAACTACCAAGAATTTGAGAAACGTAACATCATTCATCATCTAAAGAAAAAAACATAGGTATTTGCCGACATCGGACATCTCCATTTCAAAATCCATGAATAAATATTTGTTGACGTAATAAACACTTGTTAATTTGCAAACTCTTGTTACTAAAATTCTTGGTTATTTAAGTCACTTACGTGACTAATTGAAATACAACAGGTTTATTGGTTGGTAAGAGCTTGGAATAAAAGGCAAAGTACTATTATTATTGATAAAGAAATGTGTGTCATTTAAGGAGTTTATTTTGAGAGAGTTTATTATTGAGAATGAAAGATGTATTTTCATACGATCATTCCGTTACACTGGTATCGTGAAATTTCCTAATTGCATTGGTACCGTGTAACGAAGTCCGGTTACATTGATGCCGTGAGTGGTACTTAAGACCGAAGGTAAAACCAAATCCTGTTACACAGTCATCCCAAACGTAATATGTGTACTGTAATTTTATTGGCTAAGAGACTTGGACCAGGCCAATCAGATAAGGCATTTATTGGCTTACTCTTCCTATAAATAGAGCTACTCATGATATTAACATTCACCCTGCTAGGGTCAAGAATTGAAAGGTTAGCTTCACAAGAACTTCGTTTTTGTTTTCTGTAGAATGTAGGGCTTGGTAATTTTTTATTCAAAATATAGGATTATCCATAGCAGAGTCAAACATTGTTGGTTCAGGGTAGAATTAGATATCCATTTCTTTATATTTCAGTTATATATATTTAGGCTATTCCTGTGATTATTATTAGCATTGGCCTAGATTCTTGGGTGTATGGAAGCTCTTTAGTGCAATAAATACATTTTTTAAATTAAAGTCACATTCTCCCTAGGTATTTTTCATATATCCTGATATTTGATAATTTTGGATAATTCTTTAAATTTTGGAGGTAGGGGGGTCAACAAATTAACCATCAGATATAACTTATTTTTTTAGATATGATATCTGAAGCTGTCCACTATCATTTGGCAAATAAAAAATTCATACATTTTAGTTTTAAAATTTGATCATTTTTGTATATCTTTGTATGGAGCTCTTCTTCTAAAGGAGATCAATATAGTTTAAAAATGGCCATGACCACCCAGCCCTCTTAATAAGACTTTCAAATCCTAGGTACTATCTATTGTGAATCAAATAAATACATTAATGTTAAAACTTGTACTTCGGGAAAGGTTTGGCTTATTTTATATCACACTGGTTCCCGGTACACATATATATATATAGCGACCGCGGTCAGCTCCAGAAGGGGCATAGAAGTTGAGAAACTAGCATAATTAAGTATATAAAAAAAACCTTGTCGTATCGACTGTTCGATGTTTGCTTAAATTCGGGACGTTCGCGAAAATATATAGTACAAGTTAACAAAATACCTTATTACGATAACAAAGTCAGGTCATTCATACTCATTTCTGCTTATATTCCATATTCTATTTGTTTTTCTGTTGTTTACCAGTTGTGGATTTTTTTCCAACTATGCGATTTGTGTGTTTTTTCTCTAAATATCTTTTGGTAATTCGTGATTGAAATCAAATTGCAATCCAGGAGTAGGGTTGGGCCACAATAGGGAATCTAAGTTTTACATTGACATATATAGGAAAAATCTTTTAAACTAATCTTCTTAAGAACCACTGAGCCAGAAAAGCTGAAACTTATCCTAGGGTAGTGTAGATACTAAACTGTTCAAATCATAGTCCCGGGGGTAGGGTGGGGCCACTATAGGAATCCATGTTTTACATTGGAATATATAGGAAAAATCTTCTTAAGAACCCCTGTGTCAGAAAAGCTGAAACTTACATGGAAGCACCCTGGAGTATTGTTCAAATCATGGCTGTTGATAATAGAGCTAGTACTAAGTAGAAGAGTAACGACAAAGAAGCGGGAATCTCATGTCATGCTTTTTAATTGGTCATACTACATGGAGAACCAGTTTAAGAAAATAATATTTAGGATTTTAAATTAAGATTGTAAAATGACAAAACGAAATAATCAAAATGATCAACATCCTTTTTTGTTTAAAAGGAGAAATAAACACATAGTCACTCAAATAGTCACTCAAGTAGTTACATAGTCACTCAAGTAGGACGGTAGTTTCCGGTTACGAGATGGTTGCCTTCGAACGCTTGTTAGTTCAACCCGAATTGGACTAGATACGCTTTGTTGTTCCGAGCTGGACATGACCGATGTCTTGTTTTCTGAATTGTTATGTTGGCTCTCACAGATTCGTTCATCTTTGTTGTACTCTTGGTTTGCACTTTTGTTGAGGTATGAAGTTGAAGGTTTTATGATTTCAAGCTGGTGTGGAACTGTAGTGCGAATTGGTGAGCTATCACGGATAACTGCTTGTACTTGTATTGGTCTAATGTGCACACCATTTCTGCGGTATTTGGTTCCATTCTGTGCTTGAACAACATAAGTATAATCTTCCAGAATGTCTGTCACTTTTCCCAGAATCCATTTGTCTCCTACTTTATGTTCGAAGTATACGTTCTGTCCACATTTCAAAAATGGTATATCTCTTGTATTTTCATCGTGATGTTTCTTCACTGTTCGGTTGCGTTTTACACGCCTAGACCTTGCCTCCTGGTTTTCTTCTGTCCGAATGAGTGTGGGAAGCAATGTGCGCGTCTTTCTCCCAAACATCATTTCTGTGGGACTGCGTCCAGTGTCTTTTCGAGGAGTATTGCTCCAATAATGCTTCATATTGACAAGTGCCATCTCGTTCACATTTTAAGATGAGATGTTTCATTATCTTTACAGCTGATTCTGCTTTTCCATTAGCGTTTGGATGATGGGGAGATGATCTCACATGGTTTATCCCCCATTTCTCAGCAAACACTAGAAAGTCATTGGCAGTGAATTGTAGTCCTCCATCAGATACAATTGTCGATGGGATGCCAAACAATGTGAATTGTTTCTTCAGAACACCAACCACTGCTTTAGATGTTGTCTTCTTTAGCAAGTCAATGGTAATAAAATTGCTGAAATAATCAATGGCCACAAGATAGTTCTTGTCCTTAATTTCAAAGAGATCAAGGCCAATTTTATTCCAAGGAGCATTGCCATCATCATGTTTCAGCAGAGGATTAATATTGCGGGGTTTGAGTTCTAGGCAAGGTTCACAAGAAGATGCTTACTGCCTGAGTTCTGCATTCATCCCAGGCCAATACATGGATCCCCTAGCTCTTCTCAGCATAGAATCGTATCCGGTGTGCGAGCTGTGTAGACGCTGTTTAATATCTTGACGTTCACTTTTTGGAATTATGATGGACTCTCCTTTGACAATGATTCCATCATATACACTTTAACTGTCACGGAAATCAAAATATGGCTGACAGCTTTCCTTAGCAGCACTCTTCCGATCTGGCCATCCTGACTGTATAGTTTCAATCAGGTCCTGAAGGTCTGGATCTTTGGCTGTTGCCTCCTTGATTTCCATTAATCTTGAGTCATTCAGATTGGGGTTGACTTGCACCATGAAGATATCTAGTCGCTTTTCTGTTGGTTCATCTAAGTAAGCTCTACTTAGAGTGTCTGCTATTACGAGGTCTTTTCCTTTTAGAAACTTGAAGACGATATCATATCTGTTGAGCTTCATCATTATGTCCTGTAGTCTTTTTGGAGCATTGCTCAAAGGCTTCCGCAGGATTGTTTCTAATGGTTTATGGTCGTTTTCGACTATAACCTGTCGTCCATAAGTGTACTGATCAAATTTCTGTACACCAAAGAGCACTGCGAGAGCTTCTTTCTCGATTTGAGCCCATTTTCTTTCAGATGATGTTAAGGCCCTAGAGGCATACTCGATTGGTTTGCCTTCTTACATCAGGACTGCTCCTAAGCCATCCTTGCTGCTATCTACTTGCAGCACAAGTTTCTTTCCAGGGTCGAAGTACGCTAAAACTGGGGCGGATGTTAGGTTGCGCTTCACTTCCTGAAAGCTTCTTTCACATTCCGCAGACCACACAAATTCATTGTCTTTCCGAGTTAGCTTGCGGATTGGTTCAAGAGTAGTAGACAATTTTGGTAGGAATCGAGCCATATATTGGACCATTCCGCAGAATATCCTTACGCCTGCCTCATCAGTAGGTTTCGTCATTTCTAGAAGAGCAGTGACTTTCTTAGGATCAGCTTTGATTCCTTCGTTAGTTATAGTGTGTCCATGAAAGGATATTTCTTTGAGTCCTTTGACCATCTTGTCCGAGTAAAGGATAACGTTTCTTTCAATGCAGCGATCAATCACTTCCTGTAGTTTCAGATTGTTGTCTTTTAAAGCTTCTTCATCAGTTTTGCCCTGACCTGCAATGATGATGTCATCAGCAATCGTGAATGTTCCTTCAAGTCCCTCCAAGGCCTCATTTAATTTCCTCCGAAATATCTCGCTGGATACACAGAGTTCAAAAGGAAGACGTGCCCAACGGTAACGTCCATACGGCGTTATCATTGTCGTGAGAAGGCTTGATTCTTCACTGAGGCGCACATGCCAGAATGCTTCCTGGACATCTAACTTGCTGAACAGTCTTGCATTTTTGAGATTTGGGAGGACATCATCGAAAGTTGGTAAGTTGTAATGTTCTCGCTGTAGGGCAACATTCAGTGGTTGAGGATCTATACATATTCGGAGTTTGCCATTTGGCTTTTGGACCACTGCCATTTGGCTTACCCATTCAGTTGGCTTTGTGACAGGTACTACAAATCCTCTTTCAACCAGTTGGTCTAGGTCCTTTTTCACACGGTCCTTGAGAGCAAGAGGAATTTTCCTACATGGTAAAACTTTTGGTTTTACATTTGGGTCCACCGTTAAGTTGACTTCTCCCAAGTCACCAAGATTTCTGCCGGACTCTATCTTTGCAATGAAACGTTCCTGATGGACAGTAACAGGTCCAAGTTGTTGAATGGTTTTGAGACCTAATAAACTTTGGAATGAGTTTGGCACAATGATGAAATTAACTTCATTTTTATCTCCAGTTTTCACATTTTTCAGGGTCAAACTGGCTTCACCGAGGGGTTTGAGACTGGATTTATTGAACATTCTAAGTGTTTTTGTACAGTTTTTCACTTGATTCCTTCTGACATATTTCTTTTGAATTGTGTTGACGTCTGCACCACTATCTAGTTGGAAGCGGATTTCACAGTCATTAACCATCATTAGGGCTGATATATTTTCCTTCTTGTTAGGATTTTCTATTGTGTTCAGCCAGGAGTCATCCGAGCCTTCACTTTCATAGTTGTGATTAGTTTCCAGGACATTGACTTTCTTACACTGAGATTTGAAGTGATTGCGCCCATTGCAGTTATTGCATCTCTGTCCCCAAGCTGGACAATCTTCTTTCTTCATTTGATGTTTTCTCCAACAGAATTTGCACATCTTGTGAGCAGGGGGTGGTATTTCATTTCTTTCTCTTGGTTTGTTTAGTTGTCTCTGAGATAGAGATCCTTGTTTTTTGAACTGTCTGGTTTTAATCTTGTGAATTTGACTGTCTTTAGTGTCCTTCATTTCCTGTGCTTGCTTGTGTGTCTGTTCGTAAGACTGACATATTCTGATTGCTTTACGCAGATCCAGTTCGTCATCTCTCAGCAGCAGTTGTTGCATTTTACCAGAAGATGATAATACAATTTTGCCTTGGATCATTCGATCTTCAAGTTCTCCAAAATTACATGATTTTGCACGAGTGCGTAGTTCAGTAACAAATTGATCAAACGGTTCAAAATATTTTACTGACCAGAATTTGTGGCTTTCTGCAACTTCATTTTTCCGTGGGTTGCAATAATCTTCTATCTTTACAAAAACTGTAGCTGGATCATTTCTGTCTTCGTTCTGACCCCATGAGAAATGATCGTAGATTTTCAATAATTGCTCACCTCCGCAGTTTATGATGGTAGCAGTCTGAGTGTCTTTGTCTAATTGCGCTTTGCCGCTTGCACGTAAATAGATTTCAACCTGACGCTTCCAAGTTTTAAAATTCTCCGAGACATTCCCCGAATGTAAATTAAGTTAAAGGTGGAAGTCTAAGGTTTGTGTTCAGATGAACAATCTGAGCTTGCTGTTGTTCCTCACCCATCGAGAAAATTCGGGACGCTGTGGGGAACGGGTTTGCAGAATTTTATCCTTGTATCGTATATCCACTTGCTTGAAGAGTGGTTCGAACTCGAGTATCACTATCGTAAGTTCGTAGCCGCCGCTGCCACGATGTTGTACTAAGTAGAAGAGTAACGACGAAGAAGCGGGAATCTCATGCCATGCTTTTTAATTGGTCATACTACATGGAGAACCAGTTTAAGAAAATAATATTTAGGATTTTAAATTAAGATTGTAAAATGACAAAACGAAATAATCAAAATAATCAACAATGGCCCTCTGGGATAGTGTGGGGTCACAATGAGTATTACAAGGGGGAAATCTGGTGAAGAACAGCAGGGCCAAAAGATAATCAGGTGAGCGTTGTGGCCCATGGACCTCTTGCTTTGTATCATCTCTCCCTAAGTATCTAAACAACAATTAAACGGGACATACTAAAGACCTGATAAAAGAATTACTATATAAAATTTTCAATTTTTACATTATATTTCATATTTTAGGGAAAATTATTGCTGATAATAAATAATACTATCCTAAAATACACTTTTAGGGGATGTTGCATTATTTTTATTTTTGCGCTTTAAATCAAAGTATATTGACAAAACTTAATGAAATATTAAATGACCTGATTATTGTAACTTTAAAGCCTGATATTTCAAAAGACATATTTTTAAATAAAACTGGATTACTGCAAATACCCATCAGGTCATTCCAAAATATTAGGTCAATTAAATAGTGGGGAATTATTGGGTTATTAGAAAGTCATTCTCATAATTTTTTTGTCTCAAAAACATAAAAATATGGTCAAGTTCTTTAAAAGTTGCTATAAAAATATATCGGGTCAATGCATCAGTTGCAATTCATTTAAAAATTTTGGGTCTTCAGTAGAAATATCAGGTTATCAAGTTTTGTAAATACACCTTGATACAAAGCAAAAGTTCTTGGTATTATCCCTTGAAAGTGAAATTAGTGTAGTCTCATCCTTTAACATCAATACCACCCCCACCCACCCCCCTTATAAAATATAACCTTTAAATTTATAATTTTATCAGATTTTTTCATCAGGTCAAAATATCAGATCTGTTTCAATAGGCAATCCCCTTGTAGAATAGATAAGACTAATTTAACTATAGACTACGTCGGCACTCGGGGCCATGGAGCAGTGACGGATCTTTATCGTGCCAACGCCTGCCGTGACATGGGTCCTCAGTTTTTAAGGTTTCATCCGAAGGACCCGCAAAGTGCCGAGCGCATGGCGAAGGAACAGTTGCCACTTTTTTTATCAACATAGGTCAGTCGCTGCCGAGATTCGAACTCACGACCTCCCGATCACGGAGCGAACGCTCTACCGATTGAGCTACCGTGAACGGTAGACTACGTTTAATAAAGTGTAAACAAGCACAGCGCACTAAAGCACAATTGTATGTATTAATAGAACACAGAACCTGATCAAATATCATATTCTTACATCGACTTAATATGGACATTGAATAAATTTATATTATGATTAAAACTGACTAGAATCGAAATATCTGTACTGCTCTACAGAACTGACTAGCAACAAAATGCATATATGGCAAAAGTGTGAAATACAACATCAATGAAATGAATAAAGCGTTCCTAACTATCATCTTGGCATCTACTCAAGTTAAGGTGTCTTTCAACAAATCATGATTTAACATAGTCATTGTATTTAACAGGGGGTTTCACCTCGCGTCCAGAACGAGTTCCTGTGTTTCTAGAGTCCGTTCTTGGCTTTGGAAGTTCGGGTACGACTCGCTGGGCATCATTTGTCTCACATGGAAGATCACAAGGAATGTCACATCACATAGGCACCTCACATGATTTGCGCAAATGTTTTCTGTTTCTCATATAGTTTGCTCCTGCTTCTGTTTTACTTCATACGATTTTGTCACTGGTTTTGCTCCAGTACCGGTTCCTTTCTCCCATTTTCTATTAGGCGTTTTAACTCGGACTGTCTCACCAACTGATAACGGTGGTAACGGATGTGCAGATCTGTTGTAATACTCTGTTTGTTTTTGTTTGGCATTGTCAATCTTCTCTTTCTCAAATGTGACATCTTTCAGCTTTAATAACTTTCCCTTTGTGGGTTTTGTTCTCCTTCCGATAAGCCTCATGACTTGATTGGTTCCCACATGCTGTGTTGGCCTGTTCCTGAATCCAACAATGCATTGTAGGGATCAGGTTTTGCGCGTTTTGCTTTCTGCGGAATTTGTTTGGCGACTGCTTGTTCTGCCTTCCCTTTGTGGGTAGTGTGGTGAAGATTGATTGTATGTTGTTTTACGTCCCATTCGAGAATTTTTTACTCGTAGAGGGACGTCACCATATACCGGTGAAGGGCTTCAAATTTTGACCTATACTCGGCCCTCATGGCCATTGAGAAGTGAGGGGTCTTTATCGTGCCAAAGCTTGCCGTGACACGAGGCCTCGGTTTTTAAGGTCTCATCCTAAGGACCCGCAACTTTCACTTCAAAGTTCCGAGCGCATGGCGAAGGAATAGTTGC